TTAAGCGAGAATTTCAGATCACAGTGTTACTGGCCAAAGAGTTATTTATTAGTACTGTGCAGCTTGTATCTGCTGCAGGCAGGTAGAAATAACTCATATTTACATTTTCAGGTAAAATTCTCAAAATAAACATTGTAATGTGACTAGGAACTGAACACTCAAAAAAGCCTGGCTGCAAAGATTATAAGCATGCCAGAAGCAGTCTCTTTGCAATAAAAACAGACTGTTTCTGTGTTTTCAGAACAGCAGTAAATGCAAATCCAGTTAAAGTTCTTCCTATGACATTGACTGACTTGTGGATATCAATTCTTCTGAGATTGAAGAGTACTTACATGACTTAATTCGCATGGCATCGCTGAAAATGTGACAAACACTGTATTTTGCTACTCAGCACAGCAAAATAAGGGCACAATTCAAATTCAAAAGCTCAAGTTTTGGCTAAGGTGAATTATTTCACATGTGGTTTGACTGTGCTTGCAATATTCCAGGCAGTATTTTTCTTACAAGCTTTGACAATAACAAATACTCTCTTCCCTTTACCAGGACAACCTAACACTAACATCTAGTTAGCTTAAAAATGCCCCAAAACTTCTCAAAAAAACTTGACAAAACCCTCAAGAAAACCCCTAAGTTTTACACTACTTACAGAGTCAGGTTAGGCTTCCCAAATCTCTTTCTAACCTGTCGTCAAGGATTAGCATCCTATGAACATCTGGTCTGGAACACTTGTAGAACACAGATGCTGAAGACACACACGGAACAGTAATGATTGCTGAGGTATCTGACAACGCTCATCTTAAAGATCAACCCCTCCTGCACAGGGCTTTGAAGTCCCATTTCTGTGTGTGTGTACTGAAGATGTAAGGCAATAAATTAAAGTTGTTGTTAGCAACACTAATATATTGTTGCCAAAATTTCAGAGAAAAAGAAAATGCACCCAGGTTTGATATACAGGAAGAACAGGGGACTGGTTAGAATATGAAGTATCTACAGGAAGAACAGGAGACTAGTTTAAGTAGTCTACATAGAATCATAGAACAATTCAGGTTGGAAAAGACCCTTGGAATCATCGAGTCCAACCATTGACCCTACACTACACGTTCACCCTTAAACTGTATCACCCAACACCACATCTAAACGACACTTGAACACATCCAGGGATGGCGACTCAACCACCTCCCTAGGCAGTCTGTTCCAGTGTCT